CAGTGGTGCAATCTTGGCTCAATGCAACCTCCACCTCCCAGATTCAAGCAATTCCCCCGCCTCAGCCTCCTGAGTAGCTGGGATTACAGGCGTGCACCACCATGCCTGGATAATTTTGTGTTTTTAGTAGAGACAGGCTTTCACCATGTTGGCCAGGCTGGTCTTGAACTCCTGACTTCAAGTGATCCACCTGACTCGGCCTCCCAAAGTACTGGGATTACAGGTGTGAGCCACCACACCCAGTTCTTTTATTCCTCTTCTTCTTCCTCCTTCTCCTCCTCTTCTTCTTCTTGTTCATCTTCGTCTTCATCTTCTTCTTCTTCCTTCTTTTCTCTGTCTCCTTCCCTTCTTTCTTTCCTCCTTATCCTTCTTCTGTCTGATGCATAGCCAAGGGTTTGATAACTGTCTGCTCTGTGCTGACAGTCTCAGGAGCAGTAAAGAAACTCCTATTTTGTACTCCAAATAATCCACAAGATAATTGGAGCACCTTGAAGGAGGAAAGAGAAGTTCAAAGAGATCAGGTAAGTTGTACAAGCTCTGAATCCCAGCACACAGTGAAGATGGGCTTCCAGTCTGGTCTCTCTGATTCCAAAGTCTATAGTCTCACCTGTGATTAGCTTTCCTGATTTGTTATTTAAAAAAAAAAAAAAAAAAAAAAGCTTCATTTGCTTAGGTAAAATTCTAGGGAATTTTCAGCAGAAATTTTCAGTGTTGACAGAGAATTTTCTTGAGGCAAAACTGATAATCATAAAGCTTGTCTGGCTACCAAAATTGATCTGGTAGTCAAAACTTGGTAAAGTTATCATTATAGAGACCCAAGAGAAACAAATAAGAAGAATCTGCTACTATATTTTGGCGGAGTTGAGAAATTTTTAAATTTGAGCTTTCACGCTAAGAGATAAGACTCTGTGACCAATTAGTGTGTTTTGTGTTGCTATAAAGGAATGCCTGAGGCTGGGTAGTTTATAAAGAAAAGAGGAGTATTTGGCTCAGAGTTCTGAGGGCTGTACAAGCATGGCACCAGCATCTGCTTGGCTTCTGGGGAGACTTCAGGAAGGCTTTGCTCATGGCAGAGGCGAAGATGGAGCAGGTATGTCACATGAGAGGGAGCAAGAGAGAGGGGAGGAGGTGCCGGGCTCCTTTAAGCAACCAGCTCTTGCATGAACTAATAGAGTGAGAACTGAATCATTACCGTGAGGAGGACACCAACCCTTTCATGAGAGATCCGCCCCCATGACCCAAACACCTCCCACCAGGCCCACCTCCAACACTAGGAATGACATGTCAACATGAGATTTGGAGGGGACATGTATTCCAACTATTCACCCATTTTCCCTACTTGAAGGGAGTTCACAGTAGGACAAGTTCACTTAAATCTTTGTTTTGGAATTGGGATGGATAAGACATCATTTATTCAGTTATAGTTTTTAGTTTCTGGCTTTGGTTAACTCAAACAAAAAGGGAATATTTCAGACTGGTGCTTAGTAAATCATAGAATGACAAACAATTGGAAGATCAGGTTAAAATGAACATTAAGTGAAATAAGCCAGGCACAGAAAGACAAATACTGCAAATTCTCACTTACACGTGGAATCTAAAAAAGTTGAACTTACAGAAGCAGAGAGTGGAACGGTGGTCACCAGAGGCTGGGGAAGGAGAAGTTGAGGAGATATCTCGTTGGTCAAAGCACACAAAATTTCAGTTAGGCAGGAGGAAGAAGTTCAAGAGATCTATTGTACAACATGGTGACTATAGTTAATAACCTTGTGACTGTATTGAATTCTTGAAAATTGCTGAGAGTAGATTTTAAGTGTTCTCACTTAAAAAAATCAGTATGTGAGATAATGCATATGTTAGTTAGCTCTATTTAGCCATTCCACAACGTGTATGTAGTCCAACATCATGTTGTACCTGATACATAAATACATTTTTATTTGTCAATTAAAAATACCATGGAATTGGGGCAACAAAAGCTATCTGCCCAGGTGGGAACAAATCGCCTCCCAGCATCTTTCCTTCATTGCATCTCTTATCAAGATAGAAAGTCCCTGGAGAGAGGGTCTGTTTGGACCAGCTTGAGTCTGTCCCTATACCTTGGCTATGAGAGGAGTATCCTTGCTGAAGTCGTCTGCGATAGACCCTGTGGATGCATTTGGCTTGGAAATACGAATCCCCTCAAGTCTCTGTTCACAGTGGGACAATTTTTATTCTCTTCCTCTCCAGAAGGAATCAAGTGGTGTCATAAAGGAGAAATGTGTGGTAAGCAGAACTCTCTCCTCTCCTCAAAGAAAGTCTGTTACCATGTATACTTTTAAACATTTTATTTTAAAATAAAATTAGACTCACAAGAAGTTACAAAAACGATAGAGAATTGCCCTGTAACTTTTACCCAGCTCCCTGTAATGATACCATCTTATGTAACTCTAGTACATTATTAAAATAAGGACACTGATATTGGTAAAATACTATTAACAGAACCACACACTTTTGGCTTTTTATTTTATTATTTTTTTTATGTTTTGAGACAGAATCTTGCTCTGTCACCCAAGTTGGAGTGCAGTCCCGCCATTTCAACCTCTACCTCCTGGGTTCAAGCAATTCTCCTGTCTCAGCTTCCCATGTAGCTGGGATTACAGGCGCCCACCACCACGCCTGGCTGATTTCTGTATTTTTAGTAGAGATGGGGCTTCACCATGTTGGCCAGGCTGGTCTCAAACTCCTGACCTCAAGTGATCCACCCACCTCTGCCTCCCAAAGTGCTAGGATTACAGGTGTGAGCCACCATGCCCGGCCTGGTTTTGGCATTTTTAAATACATGCTCTATAATATTGATTTTTGTGTGAACATGTGTTTGTGTATATTTATAATGAGAACTCAAGTCATATTGTAATCCTATTTTGTAAACTAACTTTTTTCCTTTATCAGTATATCAAGATTATTTTCCGACATCATTTGACATTTTTTTCTACAGTGTAATTTAATGGCTACATTTTTTTCCTATCCTATGAATATATCAAACTATTTCTTGAAAACCCTACTCAGGAATTTAAAAAAATAAAAATGATGTTTTAATATTATAAAGATTCAGTGAGGTATATTCTTATATATACACATTTTTAAGGTTTGAGTTCTTACAAGATGCTGAACTAGCTGAGACTACTGGTTCTCACCTGTCACATCTGGAAAAATTATAGAAGGAAAACATCAAGATTTGGAAAAATCTGCGAGAATTGTTTTGCATTAGTGTGTAGGTGTGTGTGTTGGGGTGGTGGCTGCAGCTTGGGGCAGAGGCCTCAGATGTGGCTGTGGAGTGATTGAATAGAGTTTTTGGAGTTTGGCTTTTGTCCCAGGACATTTGGTGTCTGTCCCCAGAGCTGCAGCCCAGAAGGTTGTCCTCAGAGGCGAAGTCCAGGCAGTGAGGAGCTGTCTGCCAGTAGGCAGTTGAAGAAAAAAAAAAATGACCTGGGGAAAAAAAAAAAAATCTTCCACTAATGCTGCCAGGCTGCAGGGAGCTGGAAATGAAGCACCAACAGGAGTGGGTATTTAATGGGGAAGGGAATGATCAACTGCAATTTTTTTGGTACCCAAGACTTTCCACCTTCACACACACACGAGATGCTTTGAAATAAAGATAGTCAAATGACTTAGTAAAGTTTGTTGACATAAAAATATGGGAAATACCAAAGAATATAGAAAGGAAAACTTCATTAATATTATTCAAACTTAAAATTCTAGATTGTATCAACAGTAAGGGGGTTGATGAAAACATGGGAGAAGGCCAAGGGATGTGAGATCGGGCTCAATTCTTGACTTGCTGGGGAAAGGTATCAACACAGAACTTTTAAGAATTAGAAGGCATTAAAAAGAAATAGAAATCCTGAATCAAATTGAAACAGTAAAATAAAATAGTAGAAAGATGTGTAAATGTATCACTATCACAATAACTATAAATAGGTTAAATTTGCCAGTTGAAAGAAAGGAACTATTAAATGAGATTTAAAAAATTTGGATATATGCTTTTCGTGTGAACATACCTAAAGCATATACACGTAACCAGAAAATTAAAAGATGGAAAAATCTGCAGAGAGTGACAAAGGAAAGCTGGTGCATTTGTATTAGTATCAGATAAAGCTCATGTTTAGATAAAAAACATTATAGTAATAGAGGAAGTCATAAGGTTAAAGTTTCAATTCACCAAGAAATATCCATTCTAAACATGTATACATACCCAATTAAGCTGCCTCAAAATATATATGACAAAAATTTAGAGAATTGTAGAGTCAGATATAAGGATTGAAAAGGAAGAAATGAAACTAATTATTTTCAGATGATATATACATTTACATAAAAAACTCCAAAGAATCTTCAGATAAATTATTAGAAATTGTAGGAGAGCTCAGCAAGAAGGCAGGATATAAAATTAATATACAAAAGTCAATGTCATTTCACTATACCAGAAAAAAGACAATAACATTAGAAAATAAATCTAACATAAGATGTAGAAAAACTTATTAGAGGCAAAATTTTCTTGAGAAATATTAAAGAAGATCTAAATAAGTAGAATTACATCATATTCATGCATAAGAAGGCAACATTTTGAAGATGTCTTGTTATATATAGGCCTAGGAATAATATAGTTTTAAGTTATGTTATTTTGAACTGTAGGTGAAAGAAAGCTCTTTTTTTTCCTTTGAGTATTTTAAGATTTTGAATAAAGTCATAGTGCTCTAGGAAGGTTGTAATATTTTATACTTCGCCAGCAGTGTTTGAGAATGCTTACTTCCTACATTATAACCACCATAAATATTTAAAACCTGATAGCACACAGTTTTAAAAATTTGAAATTCTCCAATTAACAGTGACCTTTAAAAATTATGTTTACTGGTCTCCATTATTTTGTCCTTTGTAAATTTTTATTAGTTTTTCTGTTCACATGTTCCATTTTTAAAATAGACTTTTAAGAGCTGTTTGTATTAAGAATATTAAGGCTTTGTCCCTATAATTAGTATTTTTCAGAATATCCTTTCTAGGTACAGTTTTTCAGTTCTAGTGCACAGAATGGAAACTTGTTACCTGCTATACCACATTTTCACTAGGATGTGATGTATTTATCACAAACAACAGTATTGGTCAACATTTTCCCTCGCTGTGAAGTGCACATTTGACATCCTTTAGAAAAATTACTGACGGTTTTGAGACGATTGTTTTGTGCTTTCTTTCAGTCAACGTAATTTTCCCGAAAGCAGAGATGACTCTTCCAGACATGCTAACAATGCCTGAACAAACTGTGTAAGCTTAGTCCAAAAAAAATATTTGATTAATAGATTTTATTTTGGTAGATTCTAAGGTTCTAAGCAGTCAGAGAAATAATCGCAGAGCCTCAAATATCTCCAAAATCTGATACCAATCCCTTTGATTGTGAATTATATTCTGTAGCTACCAAAGAAGGTAAGTTTTAATTTTTTCTACTCTATTAACTTTCCCTTGGGCAACTGAATATTAAGATGACTATGTAAGGAGGTTATCAGACCAAGGCCTCACACATCAGGATAAAAGCACATGCCATAGAAAGAACATTTGTGTCTCACAAGGTGATACCAAGGCAAGGCTATGGGATATATATGGGCACAATGTTGATATCTTCAAAGACTTGATACATAGTCTGGAGGTTTTCAGAGATTTTAATTTATAATGACAATCTTTCAAATTAGGAGAATTTTTGGACTGTAAAGTTAGCCAAACAAGTCTTCAATGATAAAAAACGTCTATATCTTACACAGGGGGAATACATTTTTTGTTCGTTTTAATTTTTTCTCTGTCTATTCATACAGGGGCATCACATGTCTTTATCATTAAAAACTCTGATTTAGATAGACAGTTGTAGAGAAATTTAATGTGTGGGAATTTAAAGTTGTTTTATAAAGATGTAGCAAAATACAAATTTAAGACCCACAGCACCAATGAAAAAGGGAAATTAATTAAACTAGACAACTTTTATGGGTACTACCCATTAAAATTAAAATTTTAGTCATTGTAAATTATATTACATTGTAACAGTTTTCAATCTGTTGTCAAGTTAAATATTTTGGGTGACAATTGTATTTCACAGTTGTTCACACTTTGCATAATTTTCTAAGGAAAATGAGTCCCTTGGGGAGAAAATTGTTCTAAAATTTTGTTGTTGGATAATGTTGCTGCACTAACATGATTTGCTGAAGTGGATCTACCATGTGTGTTTAGGTTTTTGTTCTTTACGAAATGTGTTGGGTGAAATTTTCCATAACACTGGTGAACTTTTCATGCTAATTTTCCAGTCCGTCAGTTTAAATATTATGCATTTTTTCCTGCGAATCTATCTTGAATCTGAAAAGGCCCCAGAAGGAATTAGCATGAGTCCAGAGTAGATGGACTGCAAATGTTACTCATATTTCAACATGTATCCAGCTTTCAGAAATAGCTTACTGAAATCAAGGTTGAACCACATGAAATTTTGGGGTTTTTTTGGATGTAAAAAAGGTTAAATATTGACATTTTCATATCATCCAATCTAATATCTTCCTCTAGTGAGGTTCTGGCAAAAAAAAAAAAAAAAAAAAAAAAAAAAAAAAAAAAAAAAAAAAAGTATGATGACCCAAGTTGTTCACTCTTTTAAGCTTTATATTTCAAAATATTTTTAAAATTTAAAGCCATATAAGTGCATCCCAAAAAACATGGGAAAATTTTGTAGGCTACTTTTGTTTACTGATTTTTCTTCTATAGATTTATTTTTATGCTATGCCTGACTCTCCAATTAGATTTTAGTCATCCAGGAAAGTACAATTGCTTGTACTTCTAAGCAATTCTCCCATCACCTGGACATTAACTGCAGCCCACACTGCAGTGTCTTGACTGCAGTAGGCAATCAGTAAATATTTATTGATGGTCCTGATTATGGGATGATGAAATATGCTAAAGGTAACTTAAACTTTTGTCAATAAAACTGAGTTTCAGGTTAGTTTGACCTTTTCCGTATCTCTAAATATTTTCTTTCATGTCATTTTTGTGAAATAGCTCACAAAAGTACTTATTGATTCTGAAATCCTTTTCCCCTCTGGTATTCCTGAGCTATTCTCACTCACACACAGCACACCAGTGCCACCGTTTGCTGTTTTGGTTAAAATCATTCTCATTAATATTCCTCATTCAGTAAAAATAGTTGATTCTCAGTTATAAATATACACTTCATATTGGCAATGTGGGATGGAAAACAAAATGATGATATTGATTCCATAAGATAAACAGCAGTCTTTAGAATAGAGTTTGGTGCATAACTGTTCTAAATGTATCAAAGTTATCTCATTTAATCCTCCCACACACCTGTGGGAAGAGAGTATTTGTCTTGCTTTACAGATAAGGAAGCTGAGGCTTAGAAGATTCATATGTCTAACTAAGATCACAGAGCTGGTAAATCAGCCAAGTTTGAGTCTAAATCCAGGTTTTAAATATCATATTACATGTAGGCATAGATAAGCAAGAACAGGTTTTCCTGAAGATGGCCAGGCTAAGGCTTAGAAGAAGGAAGCTCAAGGAGACTAAACCAAGATATGCTAAGGCAAGTTTTTTTGTTTGCTTGTTTGTTTTTGAGACCGAGTTTCGATCTTGTTGCCCAGGCTGGAGTGCAGTAGCATGATGTTGGCTCACCACAACCTCCGCCTCCTGGGTTCAAGTGATTCTCCTGCCTCAGCCTCCCGAGTAGCTGGGATTACAGGCATGCACCACCATGCCCAGCTAATTTTGTATTTTTAGTAGAAACGGTGTTTCACTATGTTGGCCAGGCTGGTGTCGAACTCCTGACCTCAGCTGATCCGCCCACCTCAGCCTCCCAAAGTGCTGGGATTACAGGCATGAGCCACTGCGCCTGGCCTGCTAAGGTAAGTATTAACCATTAGAGATGACTAGTCCCAGTGACAGGTCTTTCCTACTGGGAGTCAGCCAAGAGCTCCCCACTTTTCTGGTTCCGTTGTTCCTCCTGCAAAGTTCCATTCATAAAGTGGTTTCCCATTTGATTGTCCAATGATGCAAATCTCCAGTCCTTTATAGCATTGAGTTTCTCATGGCCTTTTACCGTTGAGTTTCTCATGGCTAATGAATGCTAATGAATTGGTGTTCCCATTTATCTATAGGATTCCATGAGTCAGCCTCTAAAAGAAGGTTCCACTCCCTCACTGTGGGTACCGTCTGGGAATTAGACCCTTAATAGGAGTAATTCACCAAGCAATGTCTTCTGTAATAACGCTCCAGTCTCACTGAGAGCTTTCTATTCAAAACAACAATCTAAAGGTCTACAGTGTGACTTTCAACTAAACTGAAAAAAGAATAGAAAATGAATTATGTGATGTACACATTCATTCAACTTCTTATCCCTAAAATTCATAGCAGATTATGACTGATCATTAAAGCCAAATTAAGGAGGCAAAAGGTATAAAACAAAAGGAACTATCAGGCATAATAGTCTTTAAAGTAAAACATTACTACTGACAGTTGCTTGTGTGAAAGGTATCTTTATTTAATATGGTAAAAAGAACACAGGAATTGCTGGCACTTACTGTATGTCCATTTTATGTCCATCTTAAAATAGATATGCTGGTATACTCATCAGATTAGCACTTTAGAATTCAATAGTTTCAGAGAAATCAGAATGGACATTCTTTACATGTGCTCATCTGGCAGGAGAATTGAACAAATCCTTTCTATAGGAAAACGTAAAATTCCTAATAACTCCACAGGACTGTATGACTTGGGCTGGCAACTTCAGTGAATACAGCAGAGTTTGGGCAATGGGAAAGGGTACAATTGTGTTCCTAAACTTTTAACTTTGCGAGGCAGTGACTTTATTTCTTCTTCATGATTTTGCAGTGAGTTCAGTACAGCGGTTAGTTTCAGTACAGTTCAGTGGCTAAGCTTTTGAGAGGTACAGTTCTATGTTCTAACTCAACTTCTACCACTTGTTAGAAAGTGACTCTTGTCAAACTATTGGCCCTTTCAAACCTCAGTTTCCCCATCTGCAAAACTTTATTCATGTTGTGAGGGTTAAATGAAAAATATGTAAAACTCATCAAAATTTTAAGCACAAAATACCAAGTCTCAGCACAATACGTATAGTAGGAGTCCAGCCATTAAAATTCGAAACAGGCAGAAGCAAAAATATTTTGTTTAGAAGTACTTGCATTTTCTAGATCTGTGGTTGGGTGGACAACATATAGGTGTTCTTTTTCTTATTTTTTTTTTAAAGCATACATATATGTTATGTAGACTCTTCAGTATGTATATTTAACTCACAATAAATATTTATAAATACAAAGAAAGATATGACATACAAATGCATACACAGTGGTAAGCCCCAATACACTGCCTCATTTCTAAATGACTCTAACATTTGTAGGACAGTGGTTTTAAACCTTTGGCCCTCATTAGATACTCTGGGGAGCTTGAAAATATATGCTGATGCTTGGGCTCCACCTCCACACATTCTGATTTAATTGATTAGGGGTTCGGCTCAGGCATCAGTATTTTTAAATAAAAGCTTCCCAGATGATTCTAATGTGAACTTAAAATTGACCAATACTGGGATGACTTTAAAAGAGCGAGTGCAATAGTCACTAAACAAAATAGGAGGCGATGTGTCTCAAAAACAGTAAAATTGTTTTAAAAATTATAATACAATTAAAAAAATGTAATACAATTATTTAGAAAATTCTTACAATTTTGTGTTTTGAAAGCACCATGTGGATATCATGGGGAAAACCAGAACTTTGTTAGATTTGCAGTTTGGTATCGTCTCCATTTTGCAGTATTTTATTCAGGAGATGCAGGTGGGAAGTGGACAATTGCCTATAAGGCCATGCTTTGCACTGGGGTGTCCAGATGAGAGGCAAGTGGAGGGTTGAGTTTAGCCTGCATTCTATTCCCCAAGGTACATCTCCTGGTGAGGGGTGGCTTCTAATCAGAGGAAGAAGTCCTATGTCCTGTTTCCTAATGCACACACAGGTTCCACAAGCCCTCACTTTGTTCCCAAGAGCATAGCTTTTATTTTGGTGCTTAAGACTGCTGAATGTCACAAAATAATTATTCCCAGCACAAACAAATATTCACAATAGTTATGTGCACAACCTATTTGAGCAGTGATATGTTTTGGCTCTATGGCCTGTTTGGGCACTGATATGGTTTGGCTCTGTGTCCCTACCCAAATCTTATCTCAGATTGTAATCCCCATGTGTCCAGGGAGGGACCTGATGGGAAGGGTTTGGATCATGGGCGTGGTTTCCCCCATGCTGTTCTTGTGATACTGAGTGAGTTCTCACGAGAGCTGATGGTTTAAAAGTCTTTGGCAGTTCCCCTTTCTCTCCCTCTCTCTCTCCTGCTGCTGTATAAGACATGCCTTGTTTCCCCTTTGCCTTCTGCCATGATTA